CGGTTGGGTCTTTCTCTGCTTTGGGGATCAAGGTGATGCTTGCTTTCAGGAATGAATTCAGGAGTATTGCTTCCTTTTCAATTTCATTGAAGAGTTTAAACAGTATAGTGGCAGTAGTTCCTCATTAAATGTCTTATAGAATTCAGCGGTGAAGCCATCAGGACCTGGGATTTTCTTAGTTGGTAAGTTTTTAATTACATTTTCAATTTCATTGATTGATATTGGGTTTAGAATTTTTAGGTCTTCTTTGTTCAACTTTGGTAATTCGTACTTATCTGGGAATCTGTCCATTTCTTCTGGCATATCTTCTGGCGTTGTCCATCTTATTGGCGTATGGGTTCTTGAAGTAGGTATTGACGATCCTCTGGATTTCTGCTGGGTCTGTTGTAATTTCACCCTTTTCATTCCTAATTGCATGGATTTAGGGCTTTTCTTTCCTTTTTCTGACAAGGTTGGCTAAGGGTTTGTCAATTTTCTTTATTCTTTCGAAGAACCAACTCTTGGCTTCATTGATTGCTTTGTATCATTCTCTTAGTCTCCTTTGAATTGATTTCTCCTCTGATCTTTATAATTCCCTCCCTTGTACGAGCTTTGGGTTTGTCCTGCTCTTCTCTTTCTAGAAGCTTGAGGCTCAGCATTAGGTTGTTTAATTGGGCTCGCTCTCTTTTCCTAATATGAGTATTCACTGCTATGAATTTCCCCAGTAAGACTGCTTTCATTGTGTCCCATAGATTCCGATATGTTGCATTGTCATTTAATTGAAGGAACTTGTCTGATTTCTTCTTTATTTCCTCTATGACCCATTGGTTATTCAGAAGTATGCTGTTCAATTTCCATGTGTTTATGTAATTTTTGCAGTTTCTTTTGCTATTGATCTCCAATTTCATCTCACTATGATCTGATAATATACAGGGAATAACTTCAATTCCTTTGCACTTACTTTAACATGTTCTCTGAGCGAGTATGTGGTCTATTTTGAGAATGACCCATGTGCAGCTGAAAAGAATGTGT